GCATTTAAGTGTGCCTGCTGGTGAAAAGGAAGGAGGAAGGAGGAGTGCAGCCTGGACACCTCAGGAATGTTTTCCTGATAACAAGTTCTTCCTGCGCTGTGTGCTCGGCTGTTGTTATTTTATGTGTTTTACTGCACTGTGACTGTGTGTGTGTGTGTGTGATAGTGGAGGGCAGGTTTCACTGCTTTTCAGTTAGCCACAAGTTTATTTTTAATCACAGTGGAGTATGCAAACATGCAGCCAAAGCACAGCATTAAAGGAGTCCACATGGGTCAAAGAGATGTAGATTTTTTTCATCGTGCAGTGAACAAGTTTTGGTTACGTACAGATGAAGGTCCACAGCTGTGGAATTTATTTAAATTCAGTAAACCAAAGAGTCCAGGTCAGTTACAATCCCAGTTCAGCTAATGCAATTTTGAGCATTACCTGCAAGCCTCTTTGCAACCCACTGTGTCCAAGATCCCCGAATAAAGCCGTGATCCACGACTATAAACTGCAGGGGTCCTAACTGAAATGCAGAGGATCAGCTCCTTTGTGTGTTTTTGAGGATTTTAACTGTCTCAGATTTTACTCCAAATCAAAATCACACAATCACATCAGTGAAAGAAGATAACAGCACAAACACACACACACACACCAAGCACATTCCTACCTTTGGAGCATGACTCCAGCTCACTGCTCATGCCTCATGTGCACCGGCGCGTGCTCTGTGCAGCAGCAGAGCGCACACTACCTCGCGCGTCCTCTCCGCCACTCTCCCCTCCGCAGGCCGCCTCATTAAACTTTCAGCTGAAAACTCTTTTTGCCGTTCGGTCCCAACTGGCCTCGGCATAAGAGGAGTAAATTAAATTCAGTCTGTCCACTGGGTTTGAAGTCAGATGGAAGGATGGCATTTGCCGACTCGGTCTGCAGTCTCAAAGCAATGCGCTGTGGCCACAGGTGGTGCTTTGTGAGCCCTGACATCAGCCTCACAGTCTGAAATGACCCGGCGCTCCTAGAATATACACCTTCTTTGTTTTGTTTTTCCTCATTTTGTCTGGTTTATGTCTTTGCTCGTCCCCTAGAAAATCTCGGAGATGGCATCGACTACGACCAGCTGAAGAAAGAGGACATTGGCAAACTGATCAACGAAACTCTCCAGATCTTTGAGCGCTACGGAGGACCGGACGCCTATATAAACATCAAATACATGATCCCCACCTATCAGTCCTGCCTGACGAACTAAGGAGAGAGAAGGGGGCTGTCAGCCATGTCCACGTCTTTAAGATTTAATTTACAGCGGCATGTTTAAAGTGCTATCAGTTTGTTGTTCTGTTCCCGTTTCTTTAGTGATTTATTTAGACAGCTGATGGAAAGTCCTCGGTGCATACTGACGTTTGTTTCAAAGCCTCTTTTAAAATGTATGAAAACATTAAAAATTCTGTTGCATCTAAGTAAATCTTCCCGCAGAATCTATTTTTTCGCCTTTCAAACACTTATGTTGCTGTTGAAGCGTTGGCCATCTTGGATTTATGTCGGCTAAAGAAGATGCCAAAGTACAGCGACAAGACTTACGCTGGCGTCCACAGCTCCAGCAGCAGCTGTCTCTGAAGCACGTGTGTATTTATGATATTTCGAAATATAAATATAAAGTATTTTATATCTCCAGATCTGAAAGCCGTGATCGCTTCACCACAAAGGTTTCCTTTGAAAAGCTGATAATACTGTTTGAGATATAGAAAAGATTGGTTTCAGTAACGCAGAAACTGCGGAGGGGTTTGGGGTTTTTTTTTTCTTTTTTGTATCGTATTGTACTACTGCACTCATTCTGTCACTAACCCAGCTGGAGACGCAGCCTGTCTGAACGTGCATTTATGTTGGATATTTGAACTCAAATACCCCACAGTGATCTTAGGGAACACTTGGTGTGTATGCGGGCTTATTTGTTGGTGTTTGTGCATGACAACACGCCTGCCTCGTTGTTTATCTGGACCAGCCAGTAACTCAGTAACCAGCTCTCTGTTCTCACACTGAGTGAAGCTCCCCTCTCTCGCTCTCTATCCTCTGCTGTAAACTTCTTCACAGATGCAGCAGAAGTTTTAGCAGCCATATTTCCCGCACGCACATGCACATACACTCACTGACACATATACATATACAACACTGCGACCCATGGGGGAAAACACAGCGTAATTGATTTCTGAAACTCGCAAGGACACTTGCGCCATCTCTTATTGTAAGTCATGTCTCCAGCGAAAGCAGCTTTACAGGCCTGCGGAGGAATCTATTCTCAAGCAGAAGACAGGTTCATAATGCTCATATTTCAACCTCAGCACATCCTGAAAGGAACGTTACTGAATAGGTGTTCCACACTGCTGAACTCAAGTCGAGCTGCTCCTGCCTCGTGCTTGATCTGTGTAGTGAAAGACGTAAGGTAGTGCGGAGAGGTCCCCTTTCGAGACAAAGCACATATTTCACCTTAATAACTGCAGCTGCATAGCAAAACAACGATAGCAACGGTATAGCCACTTGTCTACTTTTTAAAGGGGTGCGTTGTGGAGGGGGTGGGGGGGCGTACAATTTCACCCGTGTTCTCACTTAATGAGCATATCGAACTCTGAATAGCCTGCAGTTCTGTCGAACTGTATCAGTGACGCCCCGCTGTCCCGCTTCACCTGTCCAATTTTACTGAGCCACAGGCTAGCAGCTGGCCAGCAAAGAGCTTAGAGATAAAGAGGAGAACTAGAAGAAAAGGACAAAGTGAAACAGGGCGAACAATTTTGTTAAGCTTTTTTTCAAATATTGGTTTTAGAAATGGGACTTCTCTCCCTTGTTCACCACCGCCCCCTCCCATCTTTGAACACCGTGTCATGCAAGCCATATTATACGGATCACTTTGCTTTGTCACACTTAAAGGGCCAGGCAACGTGATTTTTTTTTCCAATTAGGTCACATCACAGGCGCTAATCGGCACTGAGAACTCATCGGGAAGAAAGGGGACAGTGTGGAAAGGAATGCTTGAGGATATGGTTTCAAAAAGAAGATCAAATCAGAGTGAGCCTAACCATAACTTCTACTTTCCTAAACCCCTTTCACCCCCAACCGATAGCTGCAGGAGGTTTCTTCCTGTTAAAAGGGTGTTTTTCTTTCCCACTTTTGCCAAGTGCTTGCTCATAGGGGGTCGTCTAATTGTTGGGATTTTCTCTCTATTCTTGAAGAGTTTTACCTTGCATATAAAGCACCTCGAGGTGACTGCTGGTATGATTTTAATTTTTGCAAAAATGATCTTCAAAACAAATAATTTCAGCAGATAATGTCAGTATGCAGATTCATGGATTTCTTGAGTTTTTGGTCTACAGCAACATATTTTTAAAGGTGTTAGATGATATGAAATATGAAGAAAATCATATATATTTTTTATGTTCCACCTTCAGTTACTTTGATACAGTAGCATCTGCTGTGATCCTTACACCTATGAGGTAATCTCACAAGTGTTACCTTTATTTTGATACCAGGATGGTTAACACAGAGTTTGCAATTGCACAGAAACACTCAATTTATCTTCATAGGTTAAATCTAACCCCAAACTAACCTTAAATCATACTTCCACCTTAAAAATCGAATCATCTCCTTGCTTTTCCCCACAATGTGAATGTGTAAACATATTTACACCCCCACAATCTGAGTAACACAACCAAACGCACACACGCAGTAATGGCAACCCAACGCCAAGCAGCTCCACTGCTGTAATTGCTCATGCAAGTAATAGAGTGAAGTGCGAAATGAACAGGAATGAAGGCAGCCATTGAGGTTATTTGCTCTATCAAAAGCATCGCCGCATGGCTAGTTCAGACCTACAGGCCAGAAAGACATGCATGACATTACCCGAATTTTTCCCCCCCACCTTATCTCTTGTCCTGTTCTCAGACACGGAAAAACAAAACAAAACACAGCGGCAACAAATTTAACACGGAGCTGAAATGATCCTGATCATAATATGCTGACCCTTCTCCCCTCAGTCATAATGAGCAATTGATCATCTTATGACTGCAGGTGCACCAACATTCACAAAGAAATAAATTGCCACCCATTCGGTGCATTTCCTCCAGTCATAGAGCGCAGGTTACAACAATCTGCTCCTCTTCCTTACAGCAGATACTATCTGCCGCAGATAGAGCCACATTATTATTTTCAGTTGAGCGGATTTCCGAGTTGTTTTTTTGCTCTCCTTTGGTATTCCTTGTCTATTTTTGAAAGATTTTGCTGATAACTCGTGGAGTCAGTGGTATTAATCTAACGTGTTACTTAACGACCTCACACCAACCATCCTGTTGTTGTTAACAGAGATAGCTGCAGAGATAGAGGGGGAAATCTGCTGATTCTGTTTGAATCATGGTTAGATGTGTTTATCCCAGTTTCTGCATAAGTCTAACACCCTTCTGACTGCATTTTGGAAAAACACCATACTGCTCACTGGCATGTTTTTTATAGGTTTGTGCTGTTTTAAGGTGTCACAAACCATTCCTGCACACTTACCTTTGTCCTTAGTGGGGATGAAAACCACAAATTCCTCTGAACCACTGTTAATTTTGACAGTAAATTTTGATTTAGCTTTAATCACACTCTTTTGAACAAAACACCATTTACTTTAGTCTAATTTTAGTTGACAAAATCATAAGATTATAGTAGGCGAAGTATGTTGTGTTTTTCCCAGTGAAAGTTGCTTCACATGTTTTAAAAAGTGTCTTATTTTTCTTGACATCAAATACAAAATGTGTCCATATATCTGCTTGTCTCTTCTTCCCAAGTGTTGTCGCGTTTTCATGAGAAATTAATTCATGAGAGCTAATTGTATCGGTCCGACATCAATCAAACATCCCTTACAAACTTACCCCGACTTTCTACACTGGGACAGAACCATATAGTGTCAAAGCAACAATGTCGTCCAGCTACGTTGTTACGTTGCAGGCTCTAGGTTGACTCCAGTAAGTCACATGTTACTGGGGTGGCTTTCTCTAATCCAGGATCTCTCCTGATGGCCACTCTCTGTTACAGCTCAACTTCACGGGTCAACCATAGATGGTGTGGGGCCCACAGCCACTCGCTCCGCTCCAAGGTTTATTATTAGCTTAGCAAGCTCAGCCACTCACAACAGCTGCCGCCGCCGTGCAGCTACTCCCACCGAGGAGCACGCGCGAGCTATTTCACTGTCGGAAACACTTCGGTACACCGACATGGGACCATACATACAGAGACGTCATCCAGCCACACAGATCAACACAGTTGACTACTCAGTCAAGTGAGTAGGTGCGTGTCTAGCTCGCACCCCAGCAGCAGCAGGATGAGACGCTTCTCTCAGAATGAACAGTGACGTCGTGAGAGCTGGCTCCACAGAGCTCAAGTTTGTCCTTGTGCATCTCCGTCTCGCCACATCATAGTGGTGGCAGGCCAACAAAGGCTTTTATACTGCAGTGAGCTGCGCAACAAAAGCTACACAAACACGCTGATAGCGTTTTGTTGACGGAGAGGAAAAAAAGGAGACTGAGAAAAGGCTGAGGAAGGAAGAGGAAGGGAACAATTATGAAGAGGAAAAGGCACCATGACAATGCCTGTGCTGTCTGTTTGAGAGAGAGAGCACGCTGAATAAAGAGGAGGACAGGGAGATTGGTTGCACCTGAGCTCGGAGACAGACGGGCAGCCTGAGATGAATCCAGCGCGCAGAGAAATGAAGGGAAAGAGAGGCTGTGTGGGCCACGTCGAGATGGATGAATGGAGGGAAGGGGGATGTTGTGTCACCTGGTAGAGAGAGCTGTCTAGCTCCAGCCAGACCTGAGATTTAGGAGCAGTCAGCTGCAGAAAAGAGAAATAAGAGACCGAAGAAGAAACCACTTGTTTGTCTGTTTTTTTCCCCCCTTCGCAAGTGAAAAACAGAGGAGAATTGAGGCGACAACTGCCACTTAACAACATCACCACGCTCCCTTATCTGAACAAACAAGCTGAATGCGAATGTCCCACTTTGTGTGCAACATCTCCGCGTGTTGGAAATCAAATAATTCAGCCATGTGGGTCACACTTAATATGATAAAAAGCTGTGTTGTGGCGATGCATGCAGTAATGTAGCCCTGTGCGCACTGAAGGATTGATTAAGCACTCGGGAAGTCTTCATCTGTCTTCCTCTTTATCACTTCCTTCCTCTTTTCATCTGGTCCCTTTTTTTTCTGATGTCCTGTCTCTCTTACTGCAGTGTTATAGTCTCAAAAGGCAGATTGTTAGAACTGGCAATGAAGGGATTGTGCTGTGCAACAGAAATAAATGCCCCCCGGGGAATGATTCGTCTTGTTCTCGTCTGCCTGGCGGACTCCGTTGCTCATCCGGGCAGCTACTGAGCATGTGCGAGACAGGACAGCACAATGGAGATTTATCTATCTGCCTCTCCATGTGCCAGGTATCTAATTCACA